CCCTCTTGCCGGGGGGTCCAGGGGCGCCGGGTTCCCCGGAAGCGCCAGGAGGACCCTGAAGGGGAGAAGGGCACCGGGATATTCGCTGAGGTGGGTGGCCCTGTGGGTTCCGGCCACCCGGCCCTGCCGGCAGCCTTCCCCAAGCGCCCAGCACCGCCACACTCCTGGGGTCCCGGGGAGGCCGGCAGGAGCCCTGCAGCCCCACTGGCCCACCCCTGGCCCGGTCCACACACCACCCCCCGACGCACGCTCCGCCCAACTCACCGGTCCCCCAACGTCACCAGGGTCTCCCTTCTCCCCGGGGGAGCCATCCGTACCCTGCGTGAAGGGACAGTGTCAGGCACACTCATCCCCTGGCCCCAGCCCTGGGGGGTGGGAGGGCAGGCCGGGAAACGTGCTGGGCTTGGTGGGGGAGGGTCACACGCACCGGAACACCGGGGTCTCCGGGGGGCCCTAGATCTCCGGGGAGCCCCGTGGGGCCCTGCAACACAGAACGACCGGTCATGGCATCTGAATCGTTGGGCCACCGCCGGCCGCGCCGGGCCCCGGACCAGGCCTGGCTGCTGCGGACACACCCACAAGCAGGACGCAGAGTCCCAGGCCTGGCGCAGCGGCCGTCCTTGAGTCTCCTGGGTGCGGGTGCGAGCTCAGAGTGCGACCTGCAGCCTCCTCACAGCAACCCCCCAGCCTCCCCGCAGAGAGGACCCGCAGAGAGCACGGATACTCAGAGAGGGGCCCAGCAAGCAGCGGGGTGGTGACCGTCCAGCCGAGGACCCACAGACGCCAAAGGGCCTCTGCGCCCTCCCCGCCCCCCCGGCGCCGCTGCCCTGGCAGAAGGCCTCGACCTGCACCCCCAGGCCAAGCCCCACGTGGAGCCCCAGCCCCGACCCCGCGTCCGCCTCAGCCTCAGCCTCTCAACAGCTAGACGGAGTCAACGTGTGTCGCCTCTGACACCGGCGATCATGCAGAGCCATCTGTGCTTGTGCTCCATTCGCTCACTCGCGCATTCACTCACTCATGCATTTGTTTCCTCGCCTATTCCTCCATTTATTCATTCAACCATTAATTCACTCACTCATTCATCCATTCACTCATTCATCCACCCCCCCCAATCCATTCAGCATCTTCTGGGTTGCCCATGAGATCAGTACATCCGCGGTTGCAACCCCTGGTTGGCAGTTTGGGAGAAGTTCAAATACACTCCAGTGCTCCCCATCTCTGCCTCCACCTCCCCCAGGACTCACCATATTCCCTTTGGCTCCATCTTCCCCAGGGGGTCCTTTCTTTCCAGGGGGCCCGGCAGCCCCAGATGGGCCTGAATCTCCCTTTTCACCAACATCTCCCCTGGGCCCCTTTGAGAACAGAGATCAGAAGTCAGAGTGGCCCAGACTCTCAGGGGAGAGAGACTCGCATACTCGGGTGAAGGCACCAGGTGGTCTGGGGCTTTTCTAAGCTCAGGGGTGAGGGAAGCCTAGGTTGCCCAAGGGTCAGAGGTTGGAGACCCAGAACTCATGAGAGCAAGGGGTCAGGATGGGCCAGGTGCCCACTGGTCATGTGCAAGGTTGGTCCAGCCCTTGTGCCACCATGAGTGAGTTAGAAAAGGGGTCCCCTCTGGGCAGCTCATCCCCAAGACAGAGCTCATGGCTTAGGCTTGGGCCCTTAACTGACCCCCAGATCCTGCTCTCTTGTGCAATGCACAACCTGTGAAACTGTACACGGCTGCCCTCTCTGAGGCCTCCCAGGGGTCTTTCCTCAGGGTAACCAGCAATGCCTGCACATAGGTCCTGGGGGAATGGATGACCTAAGACTGCCCAGAGACCAAAGTGGTCTAGGGTGCCCAGGGGTCAGGGGTTCCTTGGCTTGGGAGCAGGAGTTACATCACACAGTCACTCACTGAGATGCCTGGGAGTCCTGGAGGCCCTGGGTCTCCAGCCTCCCCTGGCTCGCCCTGTAGGAGGCAAGGTGAGAGTTAGGAGAGGTCCCGTCCTGACAGCCCTTCCCAGTTGGGCCTAGACTCCCCTCCCCGCCCGGAGCAGCCCGTTTTCTCTCTCTCACCTTCTCGCCCACGGCGCCTGGCTGGCCAACGCCTCCAGGCGGTCCTGGAGGGCCCTGGAGAGATAGCAGGGGGTAGGTGGGACTGTGGAATCCCCAATACCCCTTCTTGGGAAATGGGGACCCCACCTCTGAGCCATCCCGGCCCCCTCCAGAGCCCTCACCTCTGATCCACTGGGGCCGTGGGGGCCCCGAGGACCCGGAGCTCCGTGCGGACCCTGCAGGAGGGCCAGAATGGCGTCCAGTGACCCCACAGCCCTCCAAAAGGCCGCCGTGGCCACAGACATCACCCTCGATGTGTGTGGCCCGCACGGCCCTTAAAATGACAGTGTGTCCCCCAAATGGATGTCATGTCTCCCCCCATCCCACACTTTCCCTGGGGGTCCGTACCATGGACCCCACATCTCCAACTTCGCCCTTCTCTCCGGGAGGGCCCGGCAGTCCCTGTGGAACAAAGAAGCCAGATGAGGGCACAGGGGGAGAATCCGAGGCGAGGCCCCCAGGCCCAGACACCCACCTGCAGGCCAGGGGGGCCAATCACCCCCACAAAGCCTCTGACCCCATCGTCTCCTTTCTGTCCAAAGAGGCCCGGGGGTCCCCGGCGGCCCTGAGCCCCGTCTGCTCCCTGGAAGAAGAGCAAGGGTCAAGGGTCAGGTCTGAGGCTAAGCGCTGGCGTCAGGGCTGGGATGAGGTTGTGGGGAGATCAGGGCCGAGTGTAGGGAACAGTGTCGGGGGATGGAGTTCAGGGTGGAACCTCTGAGAGGAGTGCTAAGAGGTGAGTGGGGTGGGGGCTGGGGCCATGGGCAGGGCTCCGAGGGGGCTGAGGTGGAGTTCACGGCTGAGGGGGAGGTTGGGGCCAGGCGCACGTTCGATGCTCGGGCTTCGGCCTGGGGTCAGTCCTGGAGGGCGGGCCGCGGTTGGGGTTCAGGGTGAGTCTGGGTCAGGGTTGGATTCAGGGATCTGGGGACATGGCTGCAGTTGGGATTGACATCAGGATCACGAGCAGAGCTTGAACTGGGGCTCGGGGTGGAGGGTGAGGCTGGGGTTCCGTCGGATCCCAGGACGAGTTCACACCGGGTGTGGGACTGAGGGGAGATCGAGGCTAGGGTTGAGGCTGGCCTCGAGTCAGCATGGAAGACACGGTCCCTTCCCACCAGGGCTAGAGGAGGGTCACAGAGCTGGCAGCACTCACCGGGAGGCCTGGGTGTCCCACGGGACCCTGGATCCCTGTTGGTCCAGGGGGGCCCTGGGGGAACAGAGAACAGAACTGTTACAGTCTCCCCAGATGCGAGACGGACGGCTGCACCCGAGATGTCACTCACTTCTCCTGGCCCATACCCCCTTATTAGAAAGACTTTCCTCACCAAGAAGCAACAGCTACCCCTCAATCCTGTCCTCCTAGCCACTAACTGATAGGACCGGAGACAGACATCTGTCCCGAGCCCGGCCCATCAGGACCTTTCTCCAAAAGTCCCTCTGAGATCTGGCACGGAGCTGGCTCATAGACACCGGACAGTGGAACTGGAGTTCTGGGGGAGGTTGGGAATAGAATGCCTCCATGCCAGGAGTGTCACAGTCAGAGGGAGATATATGACGGCGTTGGGGGCGAAACCCAGCCCCCTTCTAGTTCTTTGAAGGTCCCCGCTGTTCTGTCTGCAGGTGGGTTCTGTGACCTGTTTGCTCTGAACAACTTGAACAACTTCTTTTTTTTTTTTTTTTTTT